GGGCGAGGCCCTGCCCAGCCCAGCGGTACGCAAGTGCCAGAGGCCCAGGGTCAGATCTGAAGGGGCTGGAGCAACCTGGCCACAAGCCTCCTTTCACGACAGGGTCCACACTGAGAAGAGATTTCTGGGAGCGAAATCAATATGGAGTAGCGAAGGGATGATAGAGACTGTAAATAAATGAATGGATGAATGAATGTCCAGGTAAAAAGAAAGAAACAGAGCCAGAAACCCCAGAAAGGAAACTGCCATATTTTTGAACACCACATGAACAAAAAGAGTAGAGGGACCCCTGTGAAGTCAGAAAGCTCCTGGACCCTAAAAGTTCAGGAAAACTAATTTCCTGTAAAAAATGCATAACAGAACGATATCAAGATCAAATCCCACACAAAATTACAATAAGAAAAAAAGGGCATCGAGGGCAGAATAACACCCCTGCAGAAAATGAAAGCACGCCAGAAAGACATGCCAACAGGTAGATCAGAACTGATACCTTCTCTTTCAAAACGAGCTAAAAGGCACTAAAACAATGATACAAGATGTGAAAAATATGTAAATCAGCAAAGCTGATTATAAGCAAAGCTCAGAACGTCAGGGGTAGAAGTCAGAAAAGAATTTAAAATAAAAGAAAAAACATTTTCAGAAATGCAGATTAAACTAGAAGGAATGAAGAGTCAATAAACACAACAGTTAATGCCTGGTGAGAAATAATAATAGAAGGGAACAAGAGGAAATATTTAAAAATCAAAAAGATGACCTCCATCAAAGGTAGGCCACAGAGAGCTAGCATAGAGATAATAGGAGTACCTGAAGAAGAATTCCCTGATTTTTAAAGGGGATACTATAACTCTACCTTCAGCATTACAAAATTTCAGCAAGGTTGAAGGCATTTAATGATCCAGGCATGAAAGCATAGCACCAGACCCATATTGGTACACAGTAAATATTGAGAGGTTTTTGCCCCCTTCATGTGTGGAGTTTACCTCTCAGGTGTCTAAGGTTCAGCCCCACTCCCACTCCTGCCCCTCACCCAGAAGGAAACAAGTCAGGAAACAAACAGCTTCTACCCAGAGATCAAAGCTCACCTTGACTTCTCCTGCCCCCTAGAGTCATTGTTGCTAATTCTCTTGCCCCTCGGGTTCTGGACCTGTTTGCTTTGATCGAAAAACTTGTGCCAATGCCTTCTACTCCAGTGACACTTTTGAAAATCAGCCTAGCATCTGCCTATCCTTCTCACGGTTCCAACTCTACCTGCCTTAGCTTACAACTGGTCTCATGCCTACCCTGATGAAGTACCTTCCAGACCCTTCCTGCTTCCAGGGTACCCCGTTCCAGATGCCTCCTAGGGGGCTCTCCTAGGCCCACAACAGTTAACACCACCAGGCTGGGAGCAATAGCCCACTCCTCGGGGAGTCTGTTCCTAGCAAGCCTGTGTCCAGTGCTCAGCTGAAGGAGGCCAGCCCTGTGTGGAGCACCTCAGAGGGACACTAGAAATAAAGCAGAACAGCAAGTGTCCCCTTACACAAAGTCTCAGGTACTCACAGTTCTAGGGGACCCATCTTGAAAAGCAGATGCTAGCATTAAATAAGGTCCTGAAAAGGACACAGGGGATCAGGGACTGTCACATAGGGACCACTCTGAAGAGGCTGGACGGCTTCAAGGCAGAAAGCTGGGAAGGGCTTAATCACCACCAAAGGGTCTTTGGACAAAGAAGGAGGACCCCAAAATTTTAGTTCCTTCTCCAATGCTGGTATGCTCAGAAAAGTCACTTCCCCTCTCTAGAATGCTGGTTCTCCAGCATTGTACACTCAATGTACAAATCTGGTGGAGTATCAGATTCTCTTGGGAAGGTTTTTACATTTGACAAGTATTGCCCTCTCATCCCCACTCAAGATCTACTGAATCTGAATCTCCCCAGCCCTAGAATCTGTATTTTGAAGGACCTCAGGTGGTTTGGGAAACACCGAATTCAGAGATCTTCAAGGTCCCATCTTGCTGTGACAGTCTATGATGTCTATGAGATTCCAGACAGAATGAACAAAGGGAGCCAGCAGGATGCAGCTCAAGCAAGACAAACACACACGTGCGAAGCAGGATAAGCTCTTGCACAATGAGCAATAAACTCAGAAACTCCACCCCCACAAGAGGTGGTGCTGGTGGGAAATATAAATCCATTCCAAACAACTCTCCGCAGATTTATGAGGGTTAGAGTCATCCAAGGGAGCAGGGAGGACCACCAAGCCTCGAAGCTGCTGGAAGCAACAGAATTCTGGCTGGATGAATCATGAGTCTGACCTGGGATGGCAAATCCTCTATTCCCATGGAATCCACTTTAGAAAGAACTTCTGCTCTGGATCTTTCCATCTGAAATCACTGAAAATAAAAACAAAATTTTGTGTATAGAAACCACCTGAGACTAATATATGCCCACTGTATTGGGAAAATACAGGTCCCTTTGTTGAGAAATGGCCCTAGAGTCCCTCCTTTATAGAACAAGGGACATAAATCTCAAGATTAGGTGTCTGCTTCCCACAGTGAGAAATTGAATGCGAACGAAGTTACACGCTTTTTAAACTATGTTCATTATGCACCTCTAATGTGGAAAACTGTGCTAAGCACTTTGCCTGGGTCATCATTTAATTCTCACAGAAAGTCTAAGTAGTAGGTGTTATAATCTTCATTCATTCAGATGAAAAATCTGAGGCTCACAGAGAGGTTATGTAACCTGCCCTAGATCTCACAGCCGGTCAGGGGCAAAATCCTGGATGAGAAAACTCAGCCCATCTGAATCCAAAGCCCATGCCCCTCTTCCTACCTCATCAGATGTCCCCTGGGGCCAAAAAGTAAAAGCTCAGCACCTCTGGGAACGTGTCAGAACCTTCAGGACAATGTTAACCAAGGCTGAAGTTAGAAGTGGGTCCCACTGAAGGTGCAATGCTCAGATAGGGTGCCAAGCCCATAGCGTTAGCTCTCTTCCTCAACACACTCTTGAGAAAAAAATACAGCTACTCCTCCATCTCCAGGGTTGAATTAACTACATGACCCGCCATGCTTCTGCCCCCAGTTGATGAGGCTGCCCCAGCCCCATACCCAGGCTGCTTGCGATAGGCACAGACCGGTCGGCACAACAGGCTTCAAGGAGCTGGAGATAATGGAGGAGTGGGTTTTCCAACTCTTTCTGAGCTTTTCTTTTTCTCCCTGCCCCTATCCTCATCCCCAACCTGCTGAGTTTTAATTCTCAGGTGCTGCTGACACAGGACCCATATTCACAGGAACTCCCCCGGCCACATGTCCCGCTGTCTGGGACAGCAGCAGCCTTGGGCACAGGAAGGAGTCCCAGATACTCAAACCTTTAGAGTCTGGGACTTTACAGTGAACTCTCACACCCCCTTGCTTCTTTTGATTTGCCAATCCAGCCTCCTTCACAGACAAAGGAATTAGGTCAAGGTCCCCCAATGGATCAGTGATGAGGCTGCCCCCAAACCCAGGCGTTCTCGCTAATTCCAAAGTCCATGTTCTTTCCACGTCACCCCTCGGGCACAGCCCGCATGTATATTTTTGGGCACTGGAGTGGGTAAAACAGCAAGAGACCAAACAAGCTCTACTTAAAAATGCCTTCTGTATAGAGTCCTTTGAGTTAACACATTTGCCCCCTTTATAATACAAATATATCAGATGATTAACAATCAGCCGTTCACAGCAATTAGCCATTCTCATTACCTTCTAGTCCTTGAAATGACCTTGAAGGTCGTTTGATTTCAAATAGAAATCAACATCTTTATTTGAAAAAAAATAAAAAGAAGCCCATCATGATGTCGAGGACTCAGTGCTGAGCAGCGTATGCGGTGGAACCCCACCCAGAACTTCCGTCTCCCGACCTCAGGGCAGTGTGACCAAAACCCACCACAACTGTCCGGAGTTCAGCTTGTCTATCCCGCCCAGCATAATCTCAATCTGCGGTTTATCATTGGCAACCCAAATTAACCTTTCACATTTATGTCATTAAATTAGTTCAAAGTCTTCAAAAATGTTTTCATTGTAATGTTTTAGTAAACAAAGCTATGTACAACCAAATTAATTTTTTCATCATCCTCTGTAGGTAGAATTCAATTGAATCTCTCTTTAAAGAGAAAGAGTTTCTGCAACCTTATGAGCTTTCTGTTAATATACACTTAAAATAGTAAAATTAATTTATCAAGAACACTTTCTTCTTTTTAGTTTTCGTAAGTCATAAAAATGTTAGAATTCTGGCCAATGCGAGATCTGACAACTCCCCAGGATCTGGCCTGGCTCAAAGACAGAAAGTTTGGAAGGAAATAGCCCACAGAGGGGGCAGGATGGGGAAGGGTCTGTGCTGTGTGCTCCTGTGGTGACCAAGGAGGCGACCCAAGGACACTGGGTGAGGACACAGAGCACAGGAAGTGGGTGAGGGGCTAGGAAAAGGAGGGGCACGCACCAAAGACAAATTTGACCTGTTTTTTTTCAGTTTTCATACCCTCTGTTGCACAGAGAGCCTGCAAGCTGCTTTCATTGCATTTCCAAACACAACCTGGTTGTGTTGAGGAGGCTGAGCCCTGCCCTGCTGCGGGCCTGCTGGGGAGCACCTGACAGACAGGCCACGCCATGGCCAGGGAGTGCGAGGCGTCCTGCTCCCACTACTGGCCCGGGTCATGGGCCACTGTGGAGACATGGAGCTGACACTGTGTCCAACTCACTCTTTTGGTCTTCTTTGAGCTAAGAGGTTCCCATTGCACATGACAAGCAGGAGCAGGTTAGATGCAGTCACAATAGCACATATTGATCACCTATTGTTTGCCCAGCACTGTGCTGGACTCAGTGAGAGACTGCCTGTGACTGTCCCACCTGAAGGGGTCCTGACGTTCGTGCTGTCTTAGAACGTGGGTTTGAGGCCATGGAGCAGACATCTCGGAGGAACTCAGGGAGGCCCATGGAGCGGGGAGGGCCTGGTCGAGTGAGTGACTGCCTCCCCTCTTGTGCCGCAGTTCACTGGCTGTTCACCACGTGCGGGGCCAGCGGGCCCCACGGCCCCACCCAGGCCCAGTGCAACAACGCCTACCAGAACTCCAACCTGAGCGTGGTGGTGGGGAGCGAGGGCCCACTGAAGGGCATCCAGATATGGAAGGTGCCAGCCACCGACACCTACAGGTGCGTATGGAGGCGGGGGAGGCCGAGGGGCACACCCCAGCCTCCGGAGTCCTGCCTGTGGGTGCATGCCCCCGGGTGCCCCAGGATCAGAGGCTACAGACTCTGACCCATAGTGGGGTGTAAGGGCTGGAGATGGGGAGAATTGGGATAGTAAAATATGGTACCAAAGAAAATATATCCTTTGTCCTCAAGGACCTCACAGACTCTTCATGGAGATGATATGCATGCATGAGCTAGCCTCAGAATTATTAGTAATAATGAGAATTGTGGTGGACTGTTCTTTGAACATTACTTGATGCTCGTCAAATGAGGCAGTGCGTGTAAAATGTTTGGGAAACAGAAGTATGATGCACGCGAAAGCTGTTGTTCTTTTCCTTGAGCCTCCTTTCCTGGGCTTTCACTGTTGGAAACTGGAGTGGGCTGTTCTGGAATGTTCTCCCCAACCCCACAATATCCCACTAGAGCAAGACCAGGCTGGAGGGAAGCCTGGCTCCACTTGGCCACTTTGAGGCCATGGCAGTAAGTGAAGCTGGTGGCCAGACTGGAGGCCTCACTCCAGGAGTGTCTGACTCTGTAGGTCTGAAGTGGAGCCCAAGAACTGGAATTCCTAACAAGTTCCCAGGTGATGTTACTGCAGCCTTTTAGAACCACTGGGTTTGATCAGGCCCTGGACTTACATAAGCCTGTACAGCCCTCAAACAAGCTCTGTGACTAGGCAAGGCCTCATTTTATAAATGAGGAAACTGAGGCTCAGAGGGCCAGGGGCCTCCCCACAGTCATAAATCAATAGCAGCCTCCAGCCCCAGGCTTCTGAGACATGGCCTCGTGCAGCCTCCACCGGGCCCTGGCAGGACTGTTGAACGGGCAAGGGTCACCATCGGGCCTTGCTGGTGCAAATGTCCCCCAGGGGCTGGACGCGGTGGGGAGTGAGCTCTCCTCCTCCGGCAGCCCCCACCACTTCTCAGTCCCCTGGGAAGGAAAGGGGCTTCTCAAATTGCCTTGTTTTCTCTCTCTAGCTTAACATATCCTGTGGTAGCCTCATCCCTGGGGCGTTGGGGTAAGTGTGTTGAGGAGAGATCTAAGTGCTTTTTAAGCGGCGTTCTGGGCAGGAACACTGTAACAAGGTTTGGCTGCAATCGCATTAGCTGCTCCGGTCCTGAACACCCCCAGTAAATACCCTGGAAGATATCCGCCACCCCTGACCCCACTACAGCGAGCAAGCCAGACCTCCCCTTCCTGCCAAGCCCACCCCACGTACAAAAACCGATACGAAGAAGAAAGCAGAGGAGTTGTGAGGTGCACGAGGACCCCTGCAGCGAGCCCCCAGTAGAGCCCATTGTCCCATTCCCACCCAGGGAAACTGCAAAGCCAGCACCCCCCTGCTGCCCGACCCACAGAAGGGGACAAACAGTCCGGAGATGCTTCGTTGACGGGGAGAGGTCCTCTGGGGCTGTTCCCCCCGAGACAGTGTGAATCAGGCCCACTTCCAAATTTTCACAGGTTATTTAATCTCTTCAGACTCTGTTCCCCATCTGTGAGAGGCAGGGGGCTGTCAACACCAGCCCAGCTGGCTGTGAAGATGATGTGCAAGTGCCAAGCCCGATGCCTGCAAGTGGCAGGTGCTCCCTGGCCAGTGGGCAGAGGAATCAGCAGGAGCGACGGTGCCTCCGGCAGCGGACAGCAGCCAGACGATGTTTCCAAGAGCAGATCTACCCCACAGCCAGCTGTGCTGACTTTTCTTTCTCCAAAGACTTTTTTCTGACTTCCTCACATGAGCCCTGTGTTCTGAAAGATTGGGCCTGCCAGATGAACTACGCTTATTAAATAATAATTAATTCATCTTCCCATTTATTATTAATCACAGCCATATCTAGGTCTCGTCAAGTTCCTGATCTGCATGAATTGCCACATCACATTGAGAGAATCCAGCCAAAATCCGAGCTGTTTCCACTTATGTCTTTGAAATATTGAGACTCTCTCGCAGCCCAGCAGTGCCCGGCAACTGCCTCGTTACAAGTATGCAGAAGGAAGCATTTTTCTACTGAAGCAAGACATTCTTGAAATGTCCAAATTAGTAAAGGGGACATTTTGATCTGGCCTAAGATAGGCCCATAGCAAAATGGAAGAATCAAAACCAAGGAACACTGGGCTTGGGTTTCGGTCATTGTTATTGTTGTCTTCAAATACTTGATGTTTTAACCAAATAAAGGCTCCAACAGATATTCCTGACTTCACCTCATCCTTGGCCTTGGATGAGACTCAGGTCTGGTATGACAATGTCTATGACAATGTCAGATAATTTAGTAATCAAAGAAGCAGAGAGTTAATGATTTCCTTCTTAGACCACATCAGAATGTCCCCAAGTCAGAATATCTATGTTGAGAAGTCAGTGCCCTTTTTCTGGAAAACTTTTTCTCCATAGTAATTTAGTAAGTGCAGTTCATCTGGTGAGAAAAACACAGGCCACACCAGAAAACATGAGAAAAAGGTGCTTGGAAACAGAAAGGTGGAGCCCCTGCCCGAGAGAATCCATCACCCCTGGAGGTACCGTGCTGGCCAGTGCGCCTGGTGGCTGCCTGAGCCCTGGGACTCGGATAGCTCCTGCTGACTTCTCTGCCAGCTGGTCAGGGAGGTGCAAGGAAGGGAGCTAACACCTATCGAGCACCTACTTTATGCCAAGATGGGACCACCATTGCCCAGAACTTCCTGAGGGACGTGTACAGTCGAAAGCACCTGCACTCTTAGCTGGTCATTTATCCTGGCCATCTCCCACCCGTCCTCTTTTGCCCACACCACAAGGAAGGAGGGCCGGGCAGGAGAAGACAGTGGCTGGCTCTAGTGCAGCCTCTGACCCCATTTCCTCCCCAGCCCCCAGCTTGCCCGGCCCTGGATTTACCACTTTCTCTGTCAAAACAGTGAGGGGTGACACAGTCACTTTCTCTGAGTCCATGTGTCCTGGTGTCCAGACTTGTTCCCTCCTCCTTTGCAAATCTCAAGGAACCATGTTAAGCACCTATCAGGACACTGCGCATGACACCAAGTGTACAAAGGCAATTAAGATCAAGTCCCTGCCCCAGAAGCGCTGCAGCCAGTGGAGGTGGAGGGCGTGTAACATAGAAAGAACTACAGTGGAGGTTTACACCGGGTGCTGCTGCCAGAGGCCAGGAGGGTGCTGCACCAGCCTGAGTTCATGAGTGGCGTCCCCCAGGAGACAGGCACCTGGGTTCAGTTTGAGGATGACAGGGGTCATCTACAGAGAAGCAGGGAGGGCCTTCGCGGTGGAGGGAGCAGCGCCGAGGGAGCAAGCCGAGGCAGTGCTTGCTGCAGGCACAAAAAGTCGGTGCTGCCTAGGTCCTGGGCAAGGCTGGCCCGTGAGAGCCAAGGGCCTGGACTGGAGTGTCACCCCCAATGCCTCCAGCTCCCTCTGGCGACAGCGTGAGGGTGGGAGACAGAAGGCAGTCCCGTCACCCAGGCCAGAGTGGAAAGGGCTCAACCAAGACAGGGGAAGATGGACAGAGGGGAGAGGCCAGGCCCAGAGGTGGCTGGGAGGTTGGGGGGTAGGACCAGCATGATTTGAGGACAACAGCCACACTCTGGCTGAGGGCTGAGGAAGCAAGGACAGTGAGTGGCAGCCACTCTCCTAAGACACCTGGCTGAGAAGGAAAGGCCAAGGCGACAGGGGCCTGACAAGGGGGTGCTCCAGGCCGTGCTCTGAGCGACAACAATGTCATGCCAGGAGGAGAGCATGGATTATGGGGTTCATGCTGGGGGGTGGGGGTCAATATGCTCAGCACCACCATAAAATGGAGACTGACAGCAACAGAGCCCAGCTCCAAGTACTGCCAGGGGTTCAGTGACTGTCCGTGTGACGTGCTCCTCACAGGTGTTGGCCGCCATCTCTTCTTCATCGCTCTGTCTCCCTGCGCCTGCCTGCCTTTCTGCCTTCCTGCCTCTCTGGGGCTCGGCACCCCTCTCAGCCCTCGGTCCTCCGCACACCTGCTCCTCCCACACACACAGCTCACGTATGAAAACATTTGTCAAACACAGCCCACAGCTCCTGGTGGCAGTTCTCCCACGGCTCACTTGCTCTCCAGACATAATATACAAAAGGCCCCAGATCCCAGCTGGAGCCAGCTGACCTGGGCCACAGCTGTTGCTGATGGTCTCCGTCAATGACGCTCATCACCCACCTGGCTCCAGGGCCCAGCATGTGCAGCTGGGTGACACCATCATTCAACTCAACCCACAAACAGCCACGGAGCCCCACTGTGTGCCAGGCACTGAGCCACGGAGCCCCACTGTGTGCCAGGCGCTGAGCCACAGAGCCCTACTGTGTGCCTGGTAGGTGCTGCAGGACTGGAACAGAGGACTGAGACTCTGGAGCTTCACAGTCTCTGGAAAGATCTCAAGGCAGAAAAGTTCAATAACTGTCTACAGTGCCAATCAAGCTCTACTTAATGCTAGGAGAGACGTCATGGCACGATTAATCGCAAAGCAACTGTACAGATACCATCACTATGAAGGACACAGGGCGGAGAAAGTCAGAGGTGGAGAAACTAGGCAAAGATCAATGAGCTGTGGGCAGAATGGAGTTTGGATTCAACTTCTGCCACCAACGTGCCATGTGACCTTAAAAGAGCCACCCTCCTCTCCGGTGGCTCCACCTGCAGAGGGAAGGTGTGTAGAGAGAGGTCGCTGAAGTCCCTTCTGGCTCAGAGATGCTACACTGGTCAGGAAGGTGCTGGGGGAAGAGGTGGACCAGGAACCTTGCTCACGGATGCAACAGGACTGGACTCCCCCGGGACGGCGCCACCGAGGAGCACGTGCCTCCACAACTGGGCCCCTCAACATGACGCTCAGGGGTGTCACCCATCTGGATAATACGACTGTGCGTCAGATCAGAAATTTCCTACTGACCAAGCCCTGTCCACACTCACGTGTCTCATATGCTCTCACAATAACCCTGGAGGATGGCAGGGCAGCTCTTACTATCCTGATGTCACAGATGAGGAAACTGGGGACCAGCAGAGAAGGGAAGGGACTTGCCCAGCGCCCCGCCAGGCGTGAGAGGCAGATCCCAGAGCAGAGTGCAGGTCTCCTGCTTCTCTGGAGGGGGACGCAGGAGAGAAGTGAGGCACTTCTGTTTCTCTGAGTGGGGTCCCCTCCCCACCGCGTCCCCTCCCCGCTGGGGTGGACACGGCCAACGTGAGCCACACCAGCTGGGCGCTCATTTCAGGATCCAGCAGGCGGCCACTTTGATTTGCTGCTAATTCTTTATTTAAAAAAGATTCACAACTCAATTACACCAGGTAACAATAGCTCACGGTCAATAACACAAAACACAAACCCAATAAACATCCATTCTGACCGGGGGCCGTGGATTTAGATGAGGAAAAACAAAAAAATTACAGCATCGACTCATTGAAAACAGTATCCTGTAATTTCCAGTAAATTGGAATCACCGTGAGTCATTTTCCCCACTTGAGTGGCAGGTATATTAATTTCTTGTCGCTTGTCAACTATCAAAAATAAATTGTTTACAAGGGATGGGGAGAAAGCTTCAGAGATTCAGCCAGAGGTTGTTATTGTGGCATGAGTTTGTGTCACGTGATTCTCAGGGGCAGGGGCTGCAGCCGGCTCTGCATGAAGGTGGGTCCTGGCGGAAGTGGAACAGCCTTGACCCCAGGCCCCCTTGGCCACGCCCTGGTCTACCTACCTGGTCCCCATCTCATCCACTCTCCCCCTTCCACCTCCAGAAGTCACCCCTGGGAAAGAAGTGGACAGGCCCACCCATGGGGGACACCCTACCAGCAGCTCCCGTTTGTCACTCACTGGTACCCTGTGGCACTGAACTAGGTCCGCTATAAGCATTATCTAATTTAATTCTCACAACAACCTTTCAAGATAGGTGTGATTTTACCCCTTTTATAGATAAGGAAACAGGGCTCAGAGAGGGTAAATAACCTAACAAGGTCACACAGCTAGTGGCCAGGACCAGGGAGAGTTAAGCCCAGCAGGGTCAGACCTGGGAGGGAGGCACCTCACCAGCCTCACCTACTCCCGGCCCCGAGGCGCAGAGCTTGGGGTTTGGATCCAGGTCTGTCTTGCTCTTTTCACTGTGGACATCCCACTCACGAGGAGATCAGCCTTGCAGTAGCAACTAAAAGTGCCAAAGAAGCGAAGCTCTCGTGGTGGGACTTCAGGCCTCAGAGGGCTGATGAAGGAGCCAGTCCAGGCAGGCAGCTGCCTGTGCCCCACGACTTTAAGCCAGCCCCAGCCCAGGTTGGAAACGTGGGGCTGAGGCCACCACCGAGGAGAATACGATCCAGCTGCTGACACCTGGCCCCTTCTGCCACCTCTCTCTGCTTGTCCGAGAGTCCCACGCATCTGCCAGCTCCACGTGAAGCTGACTTCAGCCCTCCACCCCCACCCCCAGCCCCACAACCATCTGCCACAGTCTCCCATCTCCCTCCGGCCCTGAGCACCTGAGACCCTTACTTTGGACAGACATTGCTGCTTTCTTGGGGTTTTATCCCATCATCCCGTTTTGCTGAGCCATGTGGTTTGGAGAGGAAGACATGATTCTTCTCCTACTAGGGGAGGGGCTGGGGCTCCAAGAAGGCACAAGGGCAGGAAACAGGGTGCCCAGTCAGGGAGCCCCAGAGCCCTACACTTTGTCTCCTCCACTTGGCCACCCTCTGGTGGGACGTCTCCTCAAAAGGAAGACGTCTTCCTGGTTTCTCTGTGAGCACTTCAAGGGCCTGGAGCTGTCTCAGGCGCATACAGCCCTGTGACATTCCTGACACTCCATATAAGTTCCCTTCAGTGCCTGAGCACCCTCCAGGGGGGCACAAGAGTCTCCATTCAGATTTTGTGGAGACCTCAGTTCCTCGCCTGCCACATTAGCAACCCCCCGACAGAAAGGCCCAAGCTCTGCCTGGGGAGAGAGGGAGCCCCTCGCACACTCAGACCAGGGGGCATTTCCTAGAGCTGCGGGTGCAGAAGACGCTGTGTGCACCGGGGCAAGCGATCTTGCCTCTCTTCTTAGTTTTTCCTCGAGGACTTTGGATCTGAGTACACAGAAGCCTGAAAACCCTCCCGAGTCCCTTCTCCTGACAGCCGGTCCCTGGGGAGGCGTTTGTGAGCTGGTGAGCTGGCGGTCTTCGACACACACCGCTCTTCGGATACACTTCAGAAGAGGGTTCTTTTCTCCCCATCCTTGCTTGACTTCCTGGAAACTACCGAAGAGGCAGCAGAAATAATCTCACAGCCCCACGCTCTGTTTTTATTTTCATTGCAATCGGTTGTCTGTTGTCAGCACACACGTTGTTCCAGAAGGAGTTACCGGTGGGTTGGGAATAAACAGCCCGTGCTCACAGACACTGTTCTCTGTCATTCCTTGAGGAGCCTCCTTGTTTCTAGACCCTCTGGGGAGACTTTAAAACACTGTACCAAGTCCATTAGTGCTACTACCATCATTAATAATAATACTCATTGAGTGCTTATTCTACGCCAGCACAGTTCTAAGACTACATGTCTTAACTCCTTGAATCGTCATGGCGCGTGTGGGCTAACAGGCAGGTTCTCTGTTGCCCCCATTCTACAGATGTGGAACAGGGAAGTTAAGTTACTTGTCTAAGGTCGCATGAGTCCTTTAATCTGGGACCAGGAGAGAAAGCCACAATGGGGAAATCCTAGGTATTCGGGAAGCCATCACCCCAACACATCCATCATTAATACAGTCTCTCTCTCCCTCCCCCCTCTTTCTCTCTCGCACCCCTTACTGCCCTTCACCTTCCCAGCTCTGTGACTCAGGCAACTCCCCATCTATCTCTAAACGTCACTGTCCTCTCCTGACAGCGGGCAGAGGAATCCCCCCTGCTGGCCTCCCACCATGATGGCGATGTGCTTGGCCCACTGGAGCCTGCTGGGCTGGCAGGGAGGGGTCGGTCTTCACACTGTGGTAGGAGACAATGTGCTTTGTCTCATTGCAGCATCTCTGGCTACGGAGCCGCTGGCGGGAAAGGCGGGAAGAACACCATGATGCGGTCCCATGGCGTGTCTGTGCTGGGCCTCTTCAACCTGGAGAAGGACGACACGCTGTACATCCTGGTCGGGCAGCAAGGGGAGGACGCCTGTCCCAGTGTAAGTGCCCAGAGCAGGGGCTTCTCCTTCACACTCACCCAGGCCTGGTAGAGGCGTCTTGGAGGCACCAACACCCAATACACCCCTTCTGGACGGGCCTCGTTCTGCCTGCAAATGCCCCTCCTTTTCCAGGGTCATTTGGGTGCATAAGAAAGCAGGCAATGGGTGGCTACCAGAGTTTCACATCCCCACAGGGACTGAGGCTGAGGTGTGGTTTTCATGAATGACCCTTAAAACCAAAAGATTGGATTTTATGTGAATAATCAAATGATTATTCTTCTCAGCAGAAAGTCAATTGCAGACCACCCCCTGAACTTTTTGGCTAGACTGCTACTGTCCTTAGAAATAAGAAAATACCAGGTTAAACATTTCTTGTTCATCTCAAAACCACAGACTCATAGCCACACACACACACACACACACACACACACACACACACATACAGAAAAAATTCTAAAAGGTACAGGTAACACTGGTTATTTCTGGAGAGGGGACTGGAGTTTGGGGGGCTTTATCAATAATGTCTAAGATGTTACAAAAAGAATGTACTCATATATTATTTATTACTTGGGGGATTGAAACTAAAAAAAAATATTTAACGCATAGGCTCAGAACTGGGAGACCAGGTAGTCCCTTCCCCAATTTTACAGATAAGGAAAACAGAGACCAAAGAGTTCAGAATCACTCACAATGCAACACCAAATAGGGACTCTGGGCTCCTGTTTTTGCTACGGCCTGCACTTGCTTGGGCCTTGGTTTCTGTGGCCTTTTTTCTATTTCCACCTATAGCCCCATCACTGGACAAGCCTCTGCAGCCCCAAAGACAGCCTGTCACTCTGTTTCAGACCCCGCAGAAGGGTCCAGCTATCAAAGAGGGAGAACTCCCACAGCAGGAGCTGAGAAAGCCCAGAGTGGTCTAGACAAGGAGACATGGAAGAGTAACTAAGCAGCAGCCGTGCAAACTCCCACCACCCCAGGCTTTTGCTTCTTGCCTGTGTTGGGGACAGGCAGGACCTGGCAGTGCTGGCTGTCCCAGCAGGAACTCAGCACCCTGCAGGGCCAGCCTCCTGGTGGGCCAGGCCTCACCCTCACCTGAAGCACAGCTTCTGCCTGGACCAGGGACCAGAGCAGGAAGCTGTGTTATAGTGCCCGGGACCCGGGGCTCCTTCTCTAGAAAATTATTCCAGAGCAGCCTTGGAGGACAGATGTGGGAAGAGGGGCTACCAAGCAAGCAGTTCAATCCCACAAAATAAACTCAGGGCTTCTAAGAGCCAGGCTCTGGACTGGAAGTCGCGGGGCTCCCAAAGTCAAGTTCAGCCTCCCCTCCTGCCCCTGCAGAGCTAAGACAAAGCAGCCGAGCAAGTGCAGCCTTCTGCATGAGAAATGTCTCAACTCCAACTTTTATTTAGCAACTATAATAAGAACTTTTCAACCTGATATAATATATTAAGTCATTAAATTACAGGCTGCTGTAATTTTCACGGGAATTTATTGAGTGCTAATGTAATTCTTTCATCTAAGCAGAAAGATTGCATTGACTTCTGCAAGGGACTTTTACTTGATTGGATTGTAATCAGTTATGTCTTTTCACAGGACCGCATCTCTTTTTTTTAATTCAATTGTAATCTACTTGTTCCTTAGAGTTGCTGCACTTTATCATTTTTATTAATCAACCCACTTGCTCTCAAACTTTGTGGATGCGCAGGGAGTTCCCAAGCGGGCGGGAGGAGGGGATTCTCAGCCAGGGACAGCGGGCAGCTCCCTCTGCTGGTCGGGGCGGGCATAGCATGGGTTTGTGGGGAACGTCACTGGTCTTCCACGCATGCTCCGTGAGGCGTCGTTAGAAAGGGAAAAAGAAAGATTGTTTTCAGGTACGCCTTCCAACTCCAGTTCTCCCTTGGCAGAAAAAATCGTGCCTAGGGATGATCCTCAAGAGAATGAAATGGACTCTAAGAATTATACTGCAGGATTTGGCAGCTTTGCACATCTGTGGGGAGTTGCTCTTCCTATGTGCCTGGCCACACCTGGGCTCCTGCTACCTGGAATGGGCTCTCTCTGCCAGAAACCCCTGCCCCACCAACACACACACACACACACACACACACACACACACACACACACACAGACACGCCTGCACACGTGCCCCTCGGCCTTTGTTTCTCCAGTTCCTTCCAAACCTCACCTGGGGGCATGAGTCTAAATCAGGATTTCTCAACGGTGGCACTATTGGCATTTCAGAGCAATTCTTTGTGCTTGGCTGGGGCGGGGGACTGTCCTGTGCATTGCAGAATGTTAGGAGCATCCCTGTCTTCTACCCACTCAATGCCAGCAGCATACCCAAGTAATGACAGTCAAAAATGCCTCCAGACATTTCCAAATGTCCCCCAGGGAACAAAATCACCGGTCTTCACGGGTCCACATGTTAAATCTCGCCACTACCATTGCCTGCGAGCCAAATATCGTGAAGGGCCAGCCCACAAGCCAGACAGCTCTAAATTCATTCGAATGTGTTCAACAAATATTTATTGAGTACCTACTGTTGCCACTCACTGTTACAGGAACTTGAGATATACCAGTGAACAAAAGAAAGCTCTTTGCTTTCAAGCAGGAGGAGGAAGAAAATAGGGGACACAGTGACCCCGGCAAAGGCAAAGTTTCCGAGGTGAGAGTGTGCCACTCACTCAAGGAGCAGCCAGGATGGAGCAGGGGGAGCAAAAAGAAGGGTCAGTGAGAGATGAGGTCAGAGGTAATAGGGCTGGATCAGGCATTGTAAGGACATGTTTAAGCCATAGGAGGGTTTCGAATAGTGGCACAATGCGCTAAGTGTATTAAAATGTGGCTCTGGCTGCAATGGCGAAGAATAGACCACATGGGCAGCAGGGAAGAGTCAGGGCAGTGAATTCAAGGGCTATCGCATTAATCTGTGCAAGAGATGATGGTAGCTTAGACCAGGGTAGCAACCGTGGAAATGGTGGAAGTAGTTGAATTCTGGGCTTATTTTGAATGTGAAATCCAAAAGGATTTCCCAACAGATCAGATGAGGAACTGAGAAAATGAAAAGAGTCAATGGTGACACCACAAATTGTGCCTGAGCCATCGGAAGAAGGGAGCTGCTGTCACCTGAGCTGCAGGATGCTGTGGAAGGGGCAGCTCTGGGGCAGGATTGGGCGCTCAGCGTCAGAAGCCCGGTAGGCAGCCAAAGGGAGACGGCAGGACAACAGGAAATACACTGCTGGAGTTCAGGAGAGAGGTCCAGGGTGGAGATGTAAATTTGCGAGAAATCAGCATAAAGTTAAGACAAGATGAGATTGCCTAGTGTATGGTACAGGTAGAGAAGAGGACCAAGGACTGAGCCCTGGGGAACCCCAACATTTAGAGGTGAGGAAAAGGGAGAGAAATCAACAAAGAGGGCCAAAAGAGAGGAGCTAGAGAGGCGGGGGGGACCCCGGAGGGTCTGGAGTCCGGAAGTCAGGTGTATCAACTCTGCCAAATGCTGCCGCTGGCTCCCGCAAGATGCAGATTGAGACTGGACCATTCCCACTCCCCGCTCAATGTAAAGAAGATGCCACCCTCCTGGAGCAGGGGCAGTAGGGGATGGGTGTGGGTCCAGGCTCTAGTTACAGGAAAGGCCATCCCCAAACCCCACCCCAGCAATCTCCGGATTCTGTTCATGGGAAGAGAGCATCCCCAACGGGGTGGAGGTCCCACTGCTGCCCCCCAGAGGAAAGGGGGAAAGTGAGCAGAATCTGGGGGGGCTGGACCTTCTCAGTACTGCTGGTGCAGACTGGGCAGCCCCTTGAGTTACAGATGAGAAAGCAAATCCAGGAAGGTGAGGTGTCTCTCCCAACATGGCAGGGCTGCCAGGAACCCAGACTGGACCCCGTGTCTTGTGCTCGGCCAAGCTGCCAGTCCACATTCCCTCCCCCAGCCCCAAGCCCAGCGTGGCCTTATAGCTCATGCCCAGCCCAGGTGGCAGTGATTATAGCAAGGTCTCCCCCCAGCCCAGAACAGCAATGCACACACACACAAGAAATGTCAACTCTCTACAACAGCAATTCAGAGCCTTCTACCCACACTAAATCCACTCTAAAAAATATCAAATTATTTCCATCATTAAATCCAAAATGCCATAAAACAAATTACAGCTGAGCTATTTATCTGGAAATTTCTCTAGTACTCACTGCTGGCACCCCTGAGTGCTTTAGCATAAGGAGTAGCTCACGATGAATTGCCACGTCCACTGGCTGGTTACACAGCAGCATGGGATGGAAATGTGTTTCATTGGCTTCTTTTCTATTAAGTGAAAGAAAAGTCATTTTCCTCTGAGGGTAGGCTGATGTTCGGAGGATTCATCTGCGCCGTGGTGGCTGGCAAGCAGGGGTGGCCATTCTTCAAGCACCGCCCTCTTTATTCAGTGGTTCCAGGCTTTTCTGTGTTACAGAAATTTCCAGCACAATCCCAGGGGCTCTCAGGTACTGGAGCCCCCACCAGGACCAGAAGTGAATCTAAATCAAATAATAACAGCAGCCATTTATTCAGTCGCTAGCATGTGTGACACACTGTACTAGATACCTTACAGGTACTACCCGAAGTCAATACCACAGCGACCTGTGCTGTCCATGCCCGCTCCACACCGGCGCGTCAGAGGGACCGAGTGCCTCCGCCGCGGTCACCCGGGACGGGTGGGGGCCCAGACTGACTGCAGGTTACTCCCTATTCCACATGGCGACAGGGGGCTCAATTTAGGATTGCGCCAGGATTTCTGGAGGCGAGAAATGGGACATTAACTGGGAGGAATGAGAGAACGAGATGTTCAAAATGGAGAACCGATTTTCCCAAAGATGAGCAAGGAATGAAATCTGGGTCTGGTTTCCTGTTGCTTTTTTCTCTTCCCATGAAGCCTCAGAACTGCAGCTTCTCCAGAAACCTCAGCGGCTCCTCAGACTGCATTCAACGCTCCAGCCATGATCCGATTGTTGCGTTTAATTCCCTCTACCTGCCCTCATTTACATGCTCCCCCCCCCCCGCCCTATCTCACCACATAGGACCTTGTCATCCTGTCTTCAGAGTCTACAGGATTCAAACAGGTCCTCCTGGAAAATCTCTCTGTCCTCAAATGGACTCCTCTAAGACAAAGAGACCCTTGGGCTTTTCCCCAAGCACCACTCACCTACTTACCTCTGGGTAATGCTGCTGTCTCCTCCTGGAATGACCTAACTTTCCCCCACTCTCTGTGCTTAAAAAAAAAAAAAACTTGCCATCCTTCAAGACCCAACTAAAAGCTCCCTCCTGCAGGCAGTCCTCCCTGATCACCAGTCAGCAACAAAGGCTCACTTTCTCTCCCCCAGCTTCTCATAGCATTTTGTATCTCAGCTATCCTGTGGCCCTTCCCTAAGACTGCCCAGAGTGACAGGTAGCACCTCCTCAACTCAGCTGTAAACTATTTGAGAGACAGTCAGATCCTATCTTGAAGCAAAGACAGTCTGCCTGTTGGGAAGTGGAGAACCCTGGTTTGGACACAAACCTAATGTGATTTTTGTTTCTACAGACAAACCAGTTAATCCAGAAAGTCTGCATTGGGGAGAACAACGTGATAGAGGAAGAAATCCGCGTGAACAGGAGCGTGCACGAGTGGGCAGGAGGAGGAGGAGGTGGGGGCGGAGCCACCTATGTATTTAAAGTAAGTTCTTCCGCATCAGAGTCCCAGGGGCAGCGATTTCTATGCAGCCCTGAGCTAGAAACCGCTCAGACACTCTGATCCCCATTTAAAGATGAGCAAACCAAGGCCCAGAGGGGTGTGGGGTGTCTGCCCAAGAAAGGGCAGGCTCTGTGCCCTTGCTGACTCACCAGCCCGATTTTCACCTTTACCCCCTGATTTCAGAGTTCCAGGGGGCCCCTGCTGTGCCCTCCTGGGCCAGCTCTCTGTCCCGAGGTGAACTTTCCTGACATCATCGCAGCCAGACTAGAAACTAAAGGCAAAGGCCTCCTGCTAGATGCTCCCAAGGGGACGGTGATGCTGAGAGCTTAATCTGGAACTTGCAGCAGTCAGAGCCGGTGGTTCTGCCTCCCTGATTGAACCCTGGCTGATATGGGAGCTGGTGGGGAGCTGATGGGTTATCGTAATGTCAGTCCAGAGCCCTCAAGCCACCTTAGACCACCGAGAGGTCACCAGGTCACCCCACTGTCCAGCAAACACTCGGTGAGGTTCATTTAAACCAGGGCTCCGGGTCTGGGGCGGGGGGAAGCGCATGTGGCTCGGTTTCTCAGTTTCCGAATGTCTCCCCTGGCCAGATGAAGGATGGAGTGCCCGTGCCCTTGATCATTGCAGCTGGGGGTGGCGGCAGGGCCTACGGGGCCAAGACAGACACGTTCCACCCAGAAAAACTGGAGAATAACTCCTCCGTGCTAGGGCTCAACGGCAATTCCGGAGCCGCAGGTAAAGCCCCAGAGCCCCGCCCCCTCCCAGCACACCTCCCGGGACTGGGTGGGCTTCAGCTTGGCCCAATGCCATTATCACCTGAAAGCATCTTTGTCACTGGTATCTGAGGTGCTGGGAGCCCTGGATATTGGTGCCACCATCGAGAGAGGGTAGGGCAGGCAGCATCCTGGGGGCCTGCAGGCCACCCTGCCCCCCTGGGGCTGGGACCTGCAGAAGATCACTGAGAAAAAGCAGCAAGCAGCAGCCTTCGGTCGGCCAGCTGACCCTCCGCAGGTGTTACCGAAATGCAATTGCTACAGCCTCCTCCTGAGGCGCCTCCTTCCTCCAGGGACAGATGGGTCCCCCAGGTAGCGTGTGAGCTGATGAAGGAAATCAGGGCACGGTCAGTGCTCCCAGGCCTCTGTGGTGCGCACCTGCAAGCCCCAGGCCGCCAGCCTCCCAGGCCACAACCGCTGAAACATCTTGAATCTCCATGGCTGGCTCTCGTCCCTGGTTAGCAAGAGCCGGCGCCACAGGAGCAGGACAGACACGGAAAGGGGCGTGAATCCCGATTCCTCTAAGGTCAGCCATCTCTAAGGAGAGCAAATGCAATTCCTTTCATATTTTCTTTTCTCCACAATCAGACTGAGGGAGGATCTTTGAAGGCATTTAAGATTTGGGGTTAATGAAAACACATGCTCAAACTTTCTCTTTAATTAAGAGATGGCGAGAGAGAGAAGGAAGAGTAGAAACAGTGGTCAGGCCCACCGTGAGGTTACCCCCAGCAATAGCCACAGCGCCCCTTACTTACCGCGGTGCGGCATCCAACAAACCAGGAAGCACTTCCTGTGTCCGTGCGCTCAGGAGAGCCGGCAGGGTTTCCAGACAGACACCGCTCCTGTTCTACAGGAGAGCCAGTGGGCTCACACAGGTCTGGCGACTATTTTTCTCAACATGGCCAAGCGTTGAGTGATAGACGGACTCAATGGGTTTTTCTAAACATTTTTGTTGATTTGTTTTGATTTTGATGTCCATTGTTTTCCACACATTTGCTTTAAGGCTGCAAGATGGAGGGGGTCAGAAAGCTCCTCGGCTGGGGGCTGAGCAGAATGATCGTCGCCCTGACTTACTTATTTTGCACGCACGATGTTCCTGGTCCCGCACAGTGACAGGAGCCGGCACCCATGTCGGATCCCTAACACGGCCCTTCCTCTCTCCCTGCAGGTGGTGGAGGTGGCTGGAATGATAACACTTCCTTGCTCTGGGCTGGAAAGTCTTTGCTGGAGGGTGCCACCGGAGGACATTCCTGCCCCCAGGCCATGAAGAAGTGGGGGTGGGAGACCAGAGGGGGTTTCGGAGGGGGTGGCGGGGGGTGCTCCTCCGGTGGAGGAGGCGGAGGATATATAGGTAAAGATGATTCGTGTTCAAGGTGTCGCTCCCTCCCCCTTAGTCCTAGGCACCTCACCTCCCTGCCCCTTCCCGGCCTGCGCCTGCCCTCCCCTGGCCCCCCATGTGGACTGTGACTGCACGCCTCCCTCCCCGCCTGGGACCAGCCAGAGGCAGGATGTCCGCTTCCGAGCCAGCATCCTGCCTCCCGGCTCCCTCGGCAGCAGCATCAAGAGCCCCTGGGACTCTTGATCTCCCCCAAAGCCCAGGACAAAGAGGCTTTGGCTTTCCAGAACATTCTCTGAGCCACCCATAAGGACTTGCTGGCATGGGACCCTGGGAGGCCAGACTCCCCCAGCCTCCCTTCGGAAGGCCTGGCCCAGCCGGCTCCTGAAGGGACTGGTTTGTGGTTTCACAGACTCCGCCCCCACCCCAGCCCCAGCCCCCCAGCTGCCAGGAGGCCCCTCTGTCCATGCTGAGGGCAGCTGCTCCCAGCAGCCTCCTCTGGGCCTCCGAGCACTGTCAGAGGAGCCTTCTGACGCTGCAGGGCTGGGAGATGGAGCCCCCGCCCCACAGACTAGGACGAATGCATGCACGTGCCGTGATGTTCTGTCTGTGTTTTGCTTTGACGCTGTGTGTAAGATGCTTGTGTTAACCACACGCTCTTCTTTCCCAAGGCCTGGGTGGGAGGAGGAGCCTGAGGGGGGAGCCCAGAGGTAACCCAGCCCCAGGTGAAAGGAGGGACAGGAGCCTTAGGGCACAGGGGCTCATCTCCCCAAGTCCCAACCCTCGCCAACGGGATGGGGAGCAGCTCCTCAGTGCTACTGTCCTGACGGGTTCTGGAAGACGGGCCAAGGGTGTATCCCAGCCAGGGGAGACCAGAACGTTTTGGATTCTTGCTCACATTGACTGCTTCCTGGTGGGGCCCAGCAGAGTGGTGGAGACTCCCCCACGGGAGCCAGCCTAGACCTTGGGGGGAGATGGCCACACACCCGGCATCTACTGAGCCAAGTCCCAGTGCAGCTACTGTGCCCTGAGCCTCCTTTCCCTCCCCATCTCCCTGCCCGAGGCCCCAGGTGACCCCCTGGCTTTGGCCAGAGCTGCATGCCCCGCTGATGCGCATGTGTGTTGAGATTTTGGCACCCACCTCTCTGTGTTAAATTCTTCTTTGGTTTGCCACAGGTGGCAACGCAGCCTCAAACAATGACCCTGAAATGGACGGGGAGGACGGGGTTTCCTTCATCAGTCCGCTGGGCGTCCTGTACACCCCGGCTTTAAAAGGTACCCCTCTGCTTAGTGGCAGAACAAACTTCCTTAAGCCAGTCCTGTCCCCAGGCTAAAACCTCAGGGTTACTGACACACGTCCAGAGTACGAAGGCACAATTGTGGGTCCCCTGCAGGCAAGTCTTCCGAGAGCTCATCTCACCCAGTTTTCTGGAAGGTAGCACATGTGGTTTAAGACAGACACGGAGGCAGGATGCGGACTGCCAGGAAGGCTGGTCCTGGCAAATGGAGCAATAGCAGCCACAGACCTGACCCAGCCAACCTAAGGTCACACAAGTGGACCCTCCCACTTACACACAAAAACGCAGACATCTGTGGGCACCCACACGTCCCCTGTCCGAGCTCCACTCACCATATGCACCAGGAGACTTCCCCACACAGATGTGCTTCCAGCAGCAGTGGGACCTAGGAACAGGGACCAGACAGCCCACAGTGACCAGCTCGAGAGACAGCACAAAGGCTGGGAACGGGGTGCAGGGCCGTTCTCACAGGCTCAGCCCGAGACTTACCCTCCCTCCTTGTCACCAGTGATGGAGGGCCACGGGGAAGTGAATATTAAGCATTACCTAAACTGCAGTCACTGTGAAGTAGACGAATGTCACATGGACCCCGAGAGCCACAGGGTCATCTGCTTCTGTGACCACGGGACGGTACTGGCCGAGGACGGTGTCTCCTGCATTGGTAAGGGGATGGGGCCGGGGAGGGGGAGGGCCCAGAGCTCGAGCTTTGGCCCATGAATGCAGCTGGTTTCCAGGGTTCCAGGACAGCCTGGACTCAGCTTTGCAAACTTCCTGTCCCTCCCCCGCCTGCCACAGCACACGTGCTCTGACCACTGGTGAATGGAAGGAGGGCCACAGCTCCTGACAGAGTCTGAAAAGTCCTCCTGTCCCATCTCCAACCTGAGGCATGAGCCCTCTGACATCCTCACCAAGGGGCCATCCCGTCTCCACTTGAACACCCCCAGTGACAGGGACCTCACTACTCATAAGGGCACACGATGCCATCAGGAAGTGTCAGGGCCAGGCCCCTGAACCTGTTAACTTCCTCTCGGAGGTTTCCTTACTCACAGTTGCCGTTCAAGAGCAGCGTGTAAAGACAGTGCTCCCTCCTGCTTCACATCTGCCCCACATTAAACAACCCCAGTTCATGCAAGATACAGTTTTGTGTCCCTCCCCACCCTGCTGTCCCTCATTCTGCATGTGTTCCAGTCGTCAGTGCCCCTTTGGAAAGGCAGTGTCCGGGACCCGGCACAGTGGCTCTGTGTGGACTGGCCCCCAGAGGGCACAGGACGCCCTCCCCGTGCTCTGGGCTCAGCACCCTGGGCCACGGGGAAGCACTTCAACCTCCGAGGGTGTAACCGGTGACACGCTCCACTGCCCAGTCATCCTGAGTGCCGGGCCACCTAACACCCCAATCTCTTCTCTATCCACTTTTGTCTTACCTTCCATCCTCATCCTGGAGTTGTGCACTTGATGTAACCAACACCCATATTGGTAATTCAACCCTGTCAAATCTTCCCTCCACCCAAAAGCTGCTGCTGAAAGCCCGTAAATCCCGGATGAGCCTGTGTCCTGTCCACGGTCCCCTGAAAAGGCAGGCGTGACAAGGTGTCCAGGGAGGGGAAGGAGCAGGAGGCTTTTGTCCCAGCCGGGGAGGGTATTTCTGACTTGGGGCCAGCTCAGAGGAGAAGCAGCGTGGTTGTCAGTGCCCCGCGGGGACCTGTCTTCCAGTGTCGCCCACCCCAGAGCCCCACCTGCCGCTCTCGCTGGTGCTCTCCGTGGTGACCTCCGCCCTCGTGGCCGCCTTGGTCCTGGCTTTCTCTGGCATCATGATCGGTGAGTGCACCAGCCCTGGGGCTCCTGCCAGGGGCAGGAAGGCAGGTCTGAGCAAGGTCTCAGGCTGTGCCGTGGATGCCAAGGTGTCGCTCTGGCCTACTGGTCCCTGGAATTGGGCGGGGTGGTGATTAGGGTGGCCTGGGCCAAGCCAAACAGAAGGCCCCAACCCTCCCCCCAGCAGAGCAGCCACTGTTCCCTAGAGGATGCCCCGATTCTGAACCTCAGCCCCTTCTGTAGCCTTCTGGCTGCTGGGGACTAGGGGGCAGGGGTGGACTCTTCAGTGGCAACGCAACGGCTGAAGCCCGCGCCTGCCCTCAGACTTCACTCCCAGCCCTCATGTGCCATTGTGGGCACGGCTCCTGGTTCAGCTGACTCCCCATGTCATGCTCAAGCCCTGCTCTGCTCCAGACAGCCCCTTTCCGGGCAGAGAGAATGGAAAGCTGCTTTCTGAGTGTATCTCCTCTCAGCCTGTGAGCCAAAGTGAACTGCTGGTCACGAAGGGCTGCACGTGGTCCCGCCCAGCACCTACTGCTGGCACTAGGATGGCCAGGACGATGGGCAGGGGCGTGAAGAAGGCAGAGGCCCTCTCGCAGGCCAGCCCCGGTGGAGGCGACAGGATCCACGGGTGGATAGGAGATGGCAGCACACATGTGTCCCCATACATGCCATCCTTCAAAGGGACAGGACAGTAGGAGCTAACACTTGTTGCATGCTTACTACATGCCTGGCGATTTACACATCTCCATTTATTATTAATAACTCTCCAAGTAACCCTGTGTCATCATGGTTGGCACGTGTCACAGAGGAGGGGGCTGACTCACTTACACGGGCCGGGAAGTGGTGGGGCTGGGCTTGACCCGCAGAACCCACCCTCGAAATGGCAAGTTCATTTGCCCCACGTGGACTTTGCCTTACAGACATCCTCACACGCAGGAGCAACTGCGATAATGGTCACCGCATTGGCAGAGCGCTTCAGAATTTTTCAGAACCATTTTATGTTGGTGAATTCATTTCATTATGGCAACCCTAGGGGGTGGGGAGAGGGGGCTTAGGGAAACAAGGCAGGAGTTACCGTCCCTGCTTGCAGAGAAGGAAACTGAGGACCAAAGAGGTCACGTGACCCGGTCAGCGTCACTCAGCTTGTAAACAACAGAGGTGGAACAGAGCGCAGGTCCTCAGATACGAATTTAGAAATCTTTTCACTATGGGGCAGTTCTCCAACCACAGGAAACACAATCGACCAAGACCCCGGCCACACCCTCAAACCCACTGCTGCGTTTGCACTGAGGCCGTCCCGCCCCGTGACTGAGCAGAGCAGAAACACGAAGGCAGGCCAATTCTTGGAGATGCGGGGCCCCTCTGACGGCCGACTCTGGCTCCAGAACTGCCGAGGGCCTTGCAGGAACTTCCTCAGACTGCACGGCATCTAGGGAGCTTCTACCCACCCTTCCCTCCAGCTCTCCCTCACGTAGGGTCAGGCTTGCAAGAGTCTGGTGGTTCCCCGGCCTCTCCTGGCCCCCTCCCCTTTCCTCTCATGGGCAGTTCCCCTAAGAAAATCCTGGCATGTCCAATCCCATCTTGAGTGTGATTCTTGAAGGACTCAAACTAACATGACTGCCTTTTTGATACAATAAAATCTTTTCCATTTATGATCTTAAGTTGTACCTTGACTTTAAATGATGTTTCATTTAAAGATACACTTTCACATCTATAATCATTTGTTAGGGTTACTAAGTAAGATGGAAAGGTTTAGAGCTCGGGGGAGGAGATGGAGATCCAGGGAGGCTTCCTGGAGGAGGTGGCCTGTGCTGGCCTTCAAGGGCCAGGCTGCCTGGTCCAAGCCACAGTGCCGCTGACCGTCTGTCTGCAGTGTACCGCCGGAAGCACCAGGAGCTGCAGGCCATGCAGATGGAGCTGCAGAGCCCTGAGTACAAGCTGAGCAAGCTCCGCACCTCGACTATCATGACTGACTACAACCCCAACTACTGCTTTGCCGGCAAGACCTCCTCCATCAGCGACCTGAAGGAGGTGCCGCGGAAAAACATCACTCTCCTGCGGTGAGTGCCTGCTGCTGTCCTGTATGCTCATGGAGTTTATACAGGGAGAGGAAAACTCATTGGAAGAACCAGGGCTCTTCAAAAAATCCATTCGAGGGTCCCTCTTCAAGCCTACCTGGCCCACCCGCTCCAGGAGGGACAAAGTGCCCCTTGTCTGAGCACCCAGAGCAGCCTGAGCGTCTCTCTGTCATTCACTGATGATGACACTCCACAGCAAGTAACTGCCAGAGATCTGTCCCTCCCCAAGGACCGGGCGCCCGCCCTCCCCCCGGGGCAAGGGCCATGTCCCTGGCACATATCAGAGAGTCGGTAACTATTGATTGAATGAATACACGTTTGAACATTGCCACGAACCCCTGGTTGGACCCTCTCTTAGCAGTTTTCCGGCAGAGAATGGAGGCCCGGGACTTCATGGCCAAGCAGGTGAAGGCTGCTTACCCCGGCCTCTCGTGTTTGTCCACTAAATGTGACCCCCAGCTCGGGGGCGCCAGCTGCCTGTTTATCATGGCCCGTTTGACTCTGCCTCATCCTGTCTTCTCCTTTGCACAGGGGTCTGGGCCATGGCGCATTTGGGGAGGTGTATGAAGGCCAGGTGTCCGGAATGCCCAGCGACCCCAGCCCCCTGCAAGTGGCTGTAAAGGTAAGAGGTAGCTCCCCCTGGAGCCCGACCTGGGCTGCGGTCTCTGTGGGCTGCAGCTCTCTCCGCTCACAGCCTCCTCCCCTTCTGTGCCCAGACGCTGCCCGAGGTGTGCTCAGAACAGGATGAGCTGGATTTCCTCATGGAAGCCCTGATCATCAGGTAAAGCCACAGAGACACACACGTACCCCACTGCCGCAAAGAACAGGGAGACGTCTCTAACAGAGAGGTATCTCCAAGGAAACTGGCGCTGTCCCCCACATGTCCCTCTTCCCCCATAGGAGGCTGCCAAGCACTCTTGACACTTCTTACCAGAGTGGAACAACTCTCGACAGTTGTCTCAGAAAAAAATCTGTACGACCTAATAACCCCACTGCGTGCAAGCAAGGCCCCTGTGGTCACCCATTGGTTCTTGTTCCCTCACGTTTTATTAAGAAATAGAGCATGCTAGTTTTTGACAGTTTTCTTAAGAAACAGAGCATGCTAGTTTTAGCCACTCCTAGCTTGTAGATCTAGGGTGAATGTCCCCTAACATGAGGGAAGGCCATCCGCCCCGGGTCTCTGTTGGCAGGACTGGGTCTCAGTTGGCCGCACCCTCTAACTTGTGGGTCTGGGATTTAAGCTGTAAATCTCAGTGCCTGGGGCTCCTGAGGGCCTCTGCTTCTCCTTAAGGAGGAGGCAGATGTCTGATCTCAAGATCTCGGGGGGCCTCATGGCCCCCAGTTGCCCTGGGAAGTCTTTGAACATCCTGACAGGTGGGGGTAGCCTGGGGTGTCCCCTTGGTGGAATAGGCGGGGGAACAAGGCCAGGCAGTGCGAGTGATGTGCCTGTGGGGTCTAGAGCCACAGGAGAACGTATGGTGGGGTCAACACCTTGCTTTAAAAACAACATTTGTTGGCTGGGTGCAGTGGCTCATGCCTGTAATCCCAACACTTTGGGAGGCCGAGGAGGGAGGGTCGCTTGAGGCCAAGAGTTTGAGACCAGCCTGAGTAACATAGCAAGACCCCGTTGTCTACAAAAAAATTTTTAAAAAATTAGCTGGGTGTGGTGGTGCACATCTGCAGACCCAGCTACTCAGGAGACTCAGGCCAGAGCATCACTTGAGCCCAGGAGTTTGAGGTTGCAGTGAGCTACGATCACGCCACTGCACTCTAGCCTGGCTGACAGAGCAGACCCTGTCTCAAAAAATAAAATAAAGTGTTTATTTTCTGATCATACATGTAGTGCATGATTATTGAATAAAACTTGGCAAGTACGGGATTGTACAGAAGAAAACTCCAATCACTCCATGTCACTACTGGGTGGTAACTGATCATTAACTCTCTGTGCGTGTGCGTCTGCGTGTGTGTGTGTGTTCCCACGGGGAGTTCCCTGGCCCCACTGTCCTGTGGGTCCTGACAGCATCATGTTAACAAAAAACCCCAAATCTCAGGGTCCCTTGGCCCGACTTGCTCCCTCCTGTGAGGAATCCACAGGAGACTACAGGGACCCATGAGGCCGCCCCTCTTCCTGGCTCTCTCTCACTTGCTGTCACCTGGCATGGCTCACACTGTCCCTCCTAGAAGCAGTTCCTTCAACTTCTGCCTGAGCCCTTCCTCAGAGAACTCACCCCTGAACTCTAGTGCCTGGTCCATGCACCAAATCTCCCCCATCCCCACACACTCTCGCCCCAGTGCCTGTGCGACATCTTCCCACTCCAGCCAAACACTGTCCTGCAAATCGCACGCCTGCCGGGCCTGGTTTGGACTCTGGCAGTAGACTCATGCTGGGACCCCATGCGGTATTTACAGAATGCATTTACACATCGTGGCTGCTGAAATGTAACTTTGTGCCCTGCTTCTCCCACCTAAGATTTGCCCAGACTCCGCTCAGTTAAATTTGGTTACATCCCCCTCTGCTCTGCAGCAAATTCAACCACCAGAACATCGTGCGCTGTATTGGGGTGAGCCTGCAGGCCCTGCCCCGGTTCATCCTGCTGGAGCTCATGGCAGGGGGAGACCTCAAGTCCTTCCTCCGAGAGACCCGCCCTCGCCCGGTGAGTGCTCGTGCCAAGGAAAGGAGCAGGGATGGCAGGAGCAAGCCTGGGCAGCCTGGGGGGGTGACGTTCTCAGCGGGACCAAGGGAGGCAATGCTTGGGCTTGGATGTGGGGAGCTGGCCAGGAGGGAGTGGACAGAGGCAGACAACAGCTGAGCCCCAGCCCCGGGGGAGCTTGTGCAAGGTTCGTGCAACGCGTTCCATAGCCTGGACCCATTGTGGCGGCCTGCTGATTCTGGAAAATCAAACTAGTGACAAACACAGCAGGAAATTTTCACACCAGCCATGTCGCTAACTCCACGAACTGACCTGGGGCAGGTCACTCTGCAGCCACTCATTCTGAACTCACTGTCCTCGTGTCTCAAATAGGGACAGCAGCACCTGGACATTCTGGCCTTTATAAAAATAAAGAGCTGAAATAGGCAGGAAGGTGCTGCATCCATGTTACGGCTAAGGGGCTAGAGCTTGGGAAGTGAGGAAACCTAGGGTGGACCCAGCAACCCCAAGCTCCAGCCCCCGCTTGGCCAATAGACACCCTGTGGTTTAGGGCAGTCAACCCCCTTGACCTCAGTGTCTGCACAGGTGACAGCCGAGGGTGAGAGCAAAACATCTCAAAGGTGGCTCTAAATTATGAACCACAGCACCCTGGGCGACCCTGAGTCCAGCGCCCACGCCGTCTCTGTGGGTCTTCAGCAGCCCCTGCTCCCTAGGCCTGGTGTTAGGATCGAGGCTTCCTCGAGGAGCCGCTAGACTGTGGGGGCCACAAGGAAGAGGCTTGCACAGTGAGAACAGTGGCACCTCCCAGCCCTAGGACAGCAGAGAAAGACTCGCTTTGTCTATAGCCACTTGCTACAGAAGGCCCAGCCTGATCACACCGCTCGCAGGGACTCACGGGGGAGGGGGGGGCGGAAGCCCTGAAAGGGCTCGGCTGATCCGATCTCCACGCTTAGCCCCATGTCAAGTGCCTTTGCCTTAGGAGCCTCCACACTGCTTCTACAAGCCCCTGGGTGACCCGTCCTGGCATCCAAGGAGAATCCTGTCTTGCCCTTTGATAAGATGAGTGTGTGCACACCTGAGCACACCTGGCAGGGGGCGGGGCCGGGCAGACAGACCCCATCCATCATAACCCTCATTCCCCACCGTCGCCCTCCTCAGAGCTTTCCCGTTTCTCAGCACCACCCTACGAAGCAGACAGTGCAGAGCTCGCCCCCATTTTACGGATGAGAAAACTATAGCCAGAAAGGTTGTGCAACTTGCCAAGGCCACACAGGAAGTGGAGGAGCTGGGACTGGAATGCAGCACTTGTGACTCCTGGTTCAGTGCTCTCTCCAACCCACTGTTTACCCGAAGGTCCCCTCTGGGACTGTGAAGTGCCAAGGTGAGGCTGAGTCCTTGAGAGGCGACACTGCCAGGTGTCCAGGCGTCCCTGCCAGGAGCCAGGCATCTGCTTCATTGGTTGCCCACCACCACCCAGGAGGGCAGAGCCTTCGGCCCTCATGCCCTGAGATTTAGCAGCACTGCTGGCAGAGGTCAAACGGGGGTCACATGCCATCACACTTTGGGAAGAGGCACAGCTCTGGTTTTCCCACTGGACCCTCCTGGGGCCTAAGGAAAGAAAGTACTGTGCGTGCAGAGGAGACAGCCCTCCCCTCAAAGGCAGTCTGGAACCCAGCACTTGGCAAGTCCAAAGCCTATAGGGGCGGGAAGGGTAGGAGTCAGGAGCAGGGCTTCCCTCCCTCTTGCAGGCAAAGGCATCTCTCTCCTCTGATGATGAACGGTGATGTAAACGTCATCCCAAAGAACAAAGCCCCAGCAAGGAAAGGCAGATCATTGCCTCTCTCACCGCCACCCTCAGCGGGGTCAGAGCAGGCGCCTGCTGCCCAGTTCTGCCCTCTGCCAGGGGGCACTGGGAGGTCACCTATCCTTGGGAGAGCCACTTCTCAGGGTCAGGATCCCACCCACCGAAGCTGCTCTTCTGACTCTTGGCTCTACTTTTCCTGGCTGTGGGTCTCCTTGCTAACCGTGCACCCAAGTCTTGGTGCACCCACATCCAGGCAGCACCCCGAGCATGCTTCTCCTCACCTCCCCACACTCCACCCATCCCAGCTGAGCTGGTCCTCCCCGAAACATCTGGCACGTTAGGGGTGACTTCAAATGTTGAACTGTGGCGCTCCAGAGCAAGCCATGCTAACGTGTTTGTGGCAGCAGTTTCCCTGGGGGGCTAGAGGATGTGCTGCGTTTCCCGCATGAATTCTCGGGGCCACAAAATCCAACTTAGTAAGACAAGGACTCGGTGGACTGTGAGAAAGAAATGTGATTTCAAGTGGACAGAGGGGACTAATATCATTAAATCCTACACAGAATAAAGAAGGGGGAATTGGCCAAGGGACATCAGGATGGAGAAACACGTGCACCAGAGAGAGGGTGGGTAGAGCTGCGCCTCCAGATGCCAAAACTCACCGGCCTCGAAGGCCTGAGTTCCACCTGGTGCACTTGTTTGCATCCCCCTGAGACTCTCGGGGTCCCCAATGACCTACTGTGCATGGGCACAGACTGGGGGTGCACAGACATCTGTCCTCACCCCCCACCAGCCGCAGGGCCCGGCGGTGCCGCAGACCTTAGATCAGGATCGAGGGCCTCAGAGACCGTGCAAGGGGCTCTGCCTCAGGTAACGAGTGTACAGACGTGAAGACACAGCAGACGTGCAGACGCAGGGACAGAACGGAGGCCCGGGCGAGCCACGTCTGTCATGGAAATGGAATGCATGGGCGGAGATGAAAACATCGCTTGGTCCCAGGACCCCACTCTTCAAGAACGAAGGTCCCTTTTTAATGCCAAAAAAATTTTGCAGACCCAATGTTTATTCAGCAAATATTTATGAAGGGCTTACTATGTGCCAGGTATAGGTAATCGCTGTCTTTTAGTATCCATTGATTCCATCAGTAATGACAGAAGCCATTAGGAAGTCAGTAATCTCTTTATAAAGGCATAGGGCTCTAATCACAACAGTGTCTATGGCTGTTTGGGACGTAGTAATGCCTCCAGGTAATGGCTCTATAGGAGATGTTCAGTGTACAGGTGGCTTCTTGGATCCTAGAAGTCCTCAGTCTACAGGTGAGAACCTCTGATTTGGACTCATGCTCAGGTTGAAGTCTTTGGCTCTGACTTTTACAGCAGCAATGCTGGCTGAGCCGGGCCATGCAAAGGAGCGGGGAATATGAGGGCCCAGGAGCATTAATTTCTTACTTGTCACAGGGGTTTTGTGCTGCTTTTTTATGTTTTGTTCCCCGTGTCTGCACCCTTTGCTTCTTCCTTTCTTCCTCCCCTCTCACCTGCACATGCATCGGTATTAACATGCATCCTGTTCTGTCCCTTGGTGAAAGGATTCCTATCCTTCGTCCTGTGATTGGTCAGCTCTAAATAGTTAAGGAGAAGCTACTTAAGACAAGGAGAGATACTGATATTATTCTTTTTTTTTTAAGTATGTATTATCCTTTGGGAATAGCTCCTCGGACGCTGTGACACCAAACAAACCATTCCAGTTTCCTCAGCTGTAAAAGTGAGATACTGGCCTAAACAGTGTCCCTAAAAGGAACACCAGTGCCCAAGAACTCTGTGCTCAAACAACTTTCCAAGCCACTGGCTGCCATGCTGTCCCTCCCTGCACACTGGCACACAGCAGAGACTCGGATCACTCCTGTCACGCAGAAACCTATTTCACACAGGGATTTCCAGCCGGTTTGACCCTCCAGTTGCATCCCACAAACCCACTCTGGGAAACACCCACGACATATGTTCATAACCATGACTGCACAAAAAAAATCTGGTTGCCAAGGAAGTGTCACACGCCAGCGGCAGCTCAGGGATAAAATCTCGAGTCCAACTCCATCTGTGCCCCAGGATGGATACCAACGTCACTGCGTGCAGTCGGGGGCTGTACTGCTAGCACAGCTGTCCTGGGCTCTGCGCTGCTAGTCTACGTGTCAGTTTCTCCACAACCTCCGCACGCCCTCTCACCTCATCTCCACCCACACACGCACACACACACATACCCCATACACGCACACCCCATACACACACATACCCCATACACACACACACCCCATACACACACATACACCATACACACACATACCCCATACAC